AACTATTCTGTAGTGTTTTCATCAATTAAAGTATGATTGACAGGGTGCAAAGATAACGATTAGGTTTCATCATTTGAAGAAAGGTTTAAAGAAGGTGCAACTGCTTCCTTCAATTATTCTTTATTAATATTTACCAAACTGTATAATGCCTCCTACTTGTTATGTGCAGTCAATATTTTATCACTAGTTCATTATAAAAAGTTTTTCTTTCGTGCCATAATTTTTCTGTCGTGTTTTACATAGCATTACGAATGACAGCACCAAACCCGTAGTACACATTCATATTCCCCTGCTAACACCTACTGAACTGAGCATTTACATTTCATACGGGACATTATACTATGTCATCTGTATAACTGTGTTACTTAGAGACTTCATGCTTTAAATCAAGGGACAAAGCGTAAGGTGTATTTCAAAAGAACACAGCTGTGGAGTCAATGTGATAGCTAATACGAATTCAAGGTTCCTTGGTAAACCCTGATCTTTGCTTCTGGATTTCTAGGTTCATGATGATGAATGCTGTGTAAAAGCCAACGGAAGCGCATGCCTGCACGGTACCTTACAAACATAAATTACCGGGTCTTGCAGTGTGAGCTGCCTGCTTAAGAAAGGATATTGTCTTGAGTTAGATGCAGCAAATAAACAGAATGGCAATAAATAATCTGTACCAATAATGGCTAACAAAGATTTGGGTGTTTGGGATTTTTTAAAGTCTATTCTGCAAATGGATTCAGTTTTTTCACCTCCTTGGCTGTCCAGAATGTACATTTCACCATCAGAAAAAATTATTAGAGATGGAACAGAATATGTCACCCTAAAGGACATAGTAGCAGCACCTGGGGACCTAGGTTCAGTATTCTCAGTTGTACAGATAACAGTATAGGAGTGGGCATCAGATGCAATCAAAGCAATCACACTACCATTGCAGTCTGAGGTAGTGTAAGTATCAGGGCCAGTGTTGTGAGTGAAAGGACAGCGCAGCAGCTGCATTTTAAAGCAGCTTGCAGTTGTTTTGCAGAAAGTGATGTATGGCAGTCACATAACCTGCTGCCACAGCCTAGTCAGACACCAGCAACAACCTGGGAATGTGTCAGGCATCAAGTCTGCTCATCAACAGGAGCCTGGCAGAGGTAGAAACGTAATTTTACCTGAAACCAAACAATGGTCAGAATTAGCTTCAGATACCTCCATTACAGCTATTAAACTCAGAAGTCCAGTCCTGAGAATGGGTTTGTCTGGCAAGGAAAAAGAGGCAGGAGAGCAAGAGGAAGGATATTTGAGGCTTTGGGTTTCAAGCTCATGTGTATATGTGTGCCGACATCTATCCATCCACTGTTTAGCTGCATTTTCTGTGAATTTCTAAGATTAATGTTATCACAAAAGCAATTCAATCAATTGTTTAAAAAAAGATATATTTTGTCAGAGGAACATCTTGCTTATACTTGTTGTGTGCTCTTATTGCTTACAATTATTGCGGGATAAACCATATGGTAAATTCTGTTACATCCATATTCCGTGTGACGTTTCTCTAAACATTTTCTTATGTACTAAATGGGAAGATGTTAATTATGTACATCTTTTGTGGCATTTAGTAATGGTATATTCCTCCGAAGGACATATGTTGAATTTACGCTCTCAGATAGTGCAATTTATTCTTGTATATCTAGATCTGGAAGATGGGCATGGGAAAGAACACTTCTCCCATAAACCCTGTGAGAAGGAAACCGGGTATTTATGGGGAACAAGGAACACATCCCTGCTGTTTACCCTCTTTCAGAACTGTAAGGAAGAAGAAATATACCAGAGCAGGGAAGAAGCTGTTTGGATCCAGCTAGCAGAGATCAAAACTCATGCCTCCTGCAGACAAATAAAATCCTCTTGAATGAGTTTAGAAAAGCCAGCAGCATCCCCCCTGCTACAGAAACAGTGGTCACCATTTCATCTTCCAGCTGCCTGGGGAGGCTGAGGAGACGGGGGTGGCCCACCTCTTTCTAAATGAATGGCACCTGCAGGTCTCTACCCAATATTTAGGAGAAATACAGAGTGCAAACTACTCACACTGCATCGTGCTTGGTGAGTAACTAGCACAGAGCTTAGAGGAAATGGTCACCTGGCAGGTGATCTGATGGCTAGGCTCTCCCACAGAAACTGTCCTTTACATGCACGGTATTCCTAAAGATCTACAGATGAAAAGATTCAAATTATCTAGGCTTTGAGGTAAGTGATAAAACAATTAAACCTCTAAAAGAAAAATGGAAAACTCTCTAGAGTTTTACTGAATTTTATCTGATTTACTCCGTCATTTTTACTGATTAGAGCTTGAGGCCCATTAAGTAGAACTGCACTGTCATTTAGTGAGGTGTTTAATATTTAATGTTGGCTTTCCAATGTTATGTACATTGTAATAGCGTAAAGTTAAAATTAATTGAATCCAGTACAATTTAAGTCTGGTAAAAACGCTAGAAGGATCATACTAGAACTATAATAACAGCAATAGCATTTCCGGAAGACTGAAATACAGCGTTATGCCTAAGAAGACTGTTTCCAATAGCTCATGCTCAAAAAGCCAACCAGATAGTGGAAAAAAAACAGCAGAAATAATATCAGGTGGAAAATGAGCAAATAAATATTCCATAACCTATAACCTAGGACAGTATATACTGTTTCTTTAATGTTGTCTATGGCTGCCACGGCTGTATGTTCAGTTGGGCTATTCAGTTCTTAAAGTACATTATGCGCAAATCATGCTTTCTAAAGTGGTTTTCTGACAGAACTACATCAAATGAAAGCCATATTGCTGGCTTAAATGTAATTCAGTTCATCCTTGTTGTGTCAGGATGCTTTTTATATATGTAATGGGAAGGAAATGAAAAGATTGAAAAAAACATTAGTCATCATGAGGTTTTTTAATATCATCAGCACCACCATAAAGCCAGCTGATAAATTGCACACTATTCAGAAGAAAGAAATAGAATAAAATTAGTATTGCATTACACTAGATTAATCATAGCCCCGGTTTACTTTCATTCTATGGAAAATAAAAGCTTGACTATTTCAGATTTTAAAGTTTCTTCTCAGCCTTTAAGATTATTTATCTTAAGAGGCAAATAACAAGCTCACGTACTGAAGGAAGAACACAAGACTTTGGACTGGTGGGGTTGGTAAACTTATACCATTGGTTCTAAATGACAGCAAAGCAGCATCAATGACTTGGATCCAGATGGTTAGCAGTAACGTCTCGTAACAGCAACCTAATGAAGCTTTTTAGTGCTGGTGACAGGTAAATGCTTGAAAGGTTTATGGCAGGGAAAAAGCTTCAATAAATAACTTGAAAATCTGTCTCTCTTCTTACTTGCATAATTATTGCTTTTTATAATGGCATCATGGAACAGTAAAGCATACGAGAAGAAAATGCTAGAAACGAGGAACTGTCTCTGGAGCTAATAGGATGCACAGTGAGATTTTTTTCTTTTAGTTCTTGTAAGATGAATAGCTACTTAACAACCATTAGGCATCTCTCAGACTTAAGGGTTAGTTAAGTCTGTCCAGGGATCAGGAGCTAAAAATAGGGGAGATGAAGATTTTTCTCAATGCAAGTAGAGAGTAGTAGTTTCAGAATATTTAAACTAACAGAAGTTCTGAGATCTCTCACATGAACTTTTCTCCCTAATCATGGTTACCTGTGAAGAGCATAACCAGAAACCTGGTGCTTCCCATGCAATGAGGACGAAATCTGATGGCTGGCTGCTTCAAAGGGCAGGAGGCCAATCCTGCAGAGACTCTGATGTTTCTGATAAAACCTTTTTCATTGGAAAACCAGGTTTTCAATAAATGGAAATTTTAACCTTTAACATTTTAATTTTTTTTTTTCTAGAGAAGACAAAGGCAAACTTAAAATTTACTAAAGGAGGGAGAAATTGGCTGAAAAGAACATCTGGAAATTTTTCAGGTTTCTGAAGTGCACCAGGTTTTGTCAGCTATTTTCAGTTTTCATTATAGAAAATGATACAATTTTAAAAAAAAAAGTGAAGAAGCAATTGGCTGAAAGATATTTTTCCTGTCACAAGTGAAAAAAACTTAGGGTGAAAATTTCATGTAAAAAAAGAAACCATGTACTTCTGTTAACATTTTCTACTGTCAGATTTCTAAACAGATGTGACTGGGAAAGTGTTGTCAGTTTTTCTGTGGGTAGGTGGAGACAGTATGTCTTCTGCTTCTCTGCAGCATCACTGAATGCCTAGCTGATGCTGGTAGCATTAATGGGTCACATAGCAGGACTCAGATTTTTTAAATGCAGTCTGCCTCTAGCCTCTGCTAGAAGAATGACCTTCAAATATGTTGGCTGACACTGGATTTTTGCCATTTAACACTGTGGCTGGTAAAACAACAGAGGAAATCAAAGGATATGCAATTAAGGCCTACGGTATGTACACAAGAACAATAATATATAAAATAGACAATGGCAAAGGGGAAGCCACTGAGGAAAGATCCACCAATCTGGTAATTATAAGCATTGTTGAAAGCACACAGTCAATGTAAATGGTCTGGATGAATAATGCGATGGGACCTAAGCAAAGAATCCTACACATAATTTATTTAGATTGAATGCTATTATGCAAATAAAGCATTTAATTGCAAAGCAGCTAAGATATATTCTTCTGGTTTTTACTGCTAAAATAGAAATTGTTCAGCAGTTGTTTGTATAGCATTATTGAGTGGAAGTATACTTCAGCTTCAACGGCTCTTCCTTGATTTACTGTGGTTATTTTGGGCCATGCAGTCTAACCTCGGACTGTTGCACAGTCCTGATTGCCCACTGCTGCAGGTACCTGACTTTTCTTTTAGCCCTCGAAGGTCTAAGGTGGGAAAGTCTGATAGATATTGATATTAGATTGTTGTAGTCATCTTCCCTTTTTTCCCCAGTTGTCTCAGCTTGCTTTTGAGGTTCTGCTAGAGGAAATGCTGTGCCTTCATACTAAAGCGAACATTCCTTTTCTCAGTTTCTACAGATCAAGTGATGAGATGTCATGTGTGAACCCTCTGAAGGCTGAGAAGAGAAACTCTGACTTCCCAACAGAAAATTGTGAACTGCGGTTTCTTACTGGCTAGCAACACCTTTGATTCAATTTGTATGAAAACTCAATTTACTTATTAAAATGGACGTTATTGTTCAAATACTAGAAATTCCATTTCTTATATGTTCTAAGCTGGACAATTGTCAGATTTTTATGGTTTAGATTGTAAATGTGTTTTTCTCTGGCTAATTATTGGTATTATTTTTTTAATTTTGATGTCTTAAAGGCCAATGTACTGTATCATAATAATATGAAGGACATATTTAACAGGTGTGGGAAACACTGTATACAAATGTATATTTCTAAAAGCTATTTTTATGATTAGCATGTTTTACTGTATTACCATATTTAGAGTCAGGTGATATTGCACTTCTTTGTTTACTGCAAATTCAAACAAGATCATAATTAAACACACTGTATGGTATTTTCATTATTTTATTTATTATACTTGTCATTGAAAATGATTATGCTTGTTAACAAAGATAGCTGCTAAAAAGTGAAAATGTCAAAATAGAGCAATCCTTGTTAAACTGTAAATTGAATCCTCCTGTAAATCCCTTTCTTCAGATAAGCACCCTCTGTGATGCCATTCACTAGAAGGTTGTTACAGCTGTTCCTGCAAGTCTCTAAAGGCAGTTTATTCTTACCCTACGGAAAGTTTGCATCACAATCAGTGTCCTGTCTAGCTAGGTAAATAACTTATAGACTGCCAATATCTGACAACCTGAGTTAGTTTCTGATTACATTTTGGTTTATTTTCCAGTCTTTCCATTCCTGAACTCCTACTGCCCTCCTAAAAGCCTGAAGTTGGAATAATTAATTATTACAGACATTATAGGGGGAATCTCAGTATAGAATTTCTTAATAAATCATATTTTCTTTCAAACAGAAAGGACACATTATTTCTCTTGTGTTACTGAGCTATTAAGGGTATCAAAGTATGTATGATATGGGCACAAGGTCATCTTCTCTAATGAAATCCCTGCTTGTTCATCATCCCAAAGCTAAACCTCCTTAGCACTGCAGATGATATGAAACAAGGAATAGATATTTATTTATCTACGTCCTTCTTCAAGATATACTCCAATGGAAAGAGACATGTCTTTAAAGTGACTGCAGGGGAAAAATTAATTTAATAGCTACGGCCTTCCAAGAGGGAGAGATGTTTATTTAAGAAGTACCTTACACAGACAAATGGAGCTCAGACCCAGCTGTGTGCAAGTCTGCAGCACAGAGCACTGACATCTGCTGATATCCGTGACAAGGCGTATTTGGGATTCGGGATCCTCCAACACCACAGAGATGAACATTTGCCTTTCCATTTCAGTTATTTTCTATAGGCTGAAAGCAAGAGAAAAATAAAGGTACCAGAGAGATTCTTTAATAGGTCAAACTTTCAATTCCTATAAAAAACAGCAGTTTCTGAGATTATAGGTTCACTTTAAACAGTGGGGTTATGAGGAGGTGGGAGCTCAAAGTCAGGTTTCCAACATGGGGACCACCATGAAAGCAGGACTGATATTTTTCAAACATTTGGAAGAAAAGCATACATTTGAATTTATTTATCTATTACTGAGTAGGAATTTTCTTCACTAGGAGACTATTTGACATAGCACTCTCAGTTACGTTTATGTATCTTATATTTAGCTTGTCTATTGTCTGTGGAGTTACATGGTTTACCTAAGTGCTGAGTAGTACCTAGCTACTTAATTAAGGAAAGAATAGTATAAGTAGTTATGCCTGAGCATAAAGAATCACAGCTTCAGAATCCACTTAACTCTCCCAGAAATGTGCAGAAAAAAATATCACTTCTGTGTAAGAGAAATGTTAGGTCAAATCAAAAGGTGAAATATTTCTCCACTTTCTATCTAGTAGTATAGGTTATGACCCTTTTTAACTGTAAAAATGAGAAAAGAATTGCCATTTTGGGATCTCCAACTTTGGCTGACAGTTGAAATGGAGATCAGTTCTGATGTTGCTGTTAACAAACTACATATGAGAAACCTCTAGGTTTATCATCTTTTCACCACCTCCATTGCAAATGAGCTAATAATCACAGAAAGCACTCTATTAGATTCTAATAAATTCTTTCCACTCATTACCCTTAGATTATATATTCACAGAAATAATTGCACTGCCATAATGTCAACACTGTTTCACACCACAATTTAAATCCTGAATATATTTTGAACACAACAAGACACCTCTGATAACACCACGAGGCACCACTTCATCTGCAAGCCAGAAGCTTGTTGTCCCGTGCAGTCGATTACTAGCAAGGTTTGTTAATGGCATGTTTGCTTCAAATCACTACAGAGGATGCTGGTAGCTTCAACAGAGCTTGATAGTTCTCTACTTTTCATGTACGTGGTATGCTCAGTGTTGTTTGCCATCACTACCTGTACTTGTTTTACATGGGTTTTGTCAGTTGTGGGTTTTTTTAGCATTGCTCATCCCTTGCAATATGGAATAATAGGCAACATAAAGGATCTTGTCAATCGGCTTGGACAGTCAACAGTCTTATAAAATCCTTCACTGACAGTCCTGAAATAAATCAATTCATTTTCTACACAGAGCTATACACTCTGTATATTTCAGATATTTGTTTCCAACCTGCGCAGCTGCATGAATGGAAAATATTTACTAAAAAGCTTTAAAGTTTGGATCAAGAAAAATATTTTTACTTTTGTAAACTCTTGTATTACATATTCTTGTGGTTCTTATTAGTTTTCTCTGTAGATCCATTTTTAGTTCTGAAAAATCATTGTACTTAAACTATGTAGATAGCTACAGTCTTGTAAGCAGTCATATTTTTAATAGGTGCCACTGCAAGTTAGAATTAAAATATTCAGGGTTTGCCTGTGTAGAGCAGATTGATGGTTCATTACAGTTTTCTTTAAAATGTTGTAACATAATTTTTACATGTCTGTAAATAAATATTTTCTCTGATTTATGCACTAATTCAGTTTTGTAATTTCTTCTATTAAAATGTGACTCTAAGAAACTTTCCAGAAAAAATATATTTCTCTCGTGGAAAATACTATTTAAAGCTCTGTAATACAACCGTGCTTCACAAACTTTCCAAACAGAACAAACAGAAAGAGGTATCTATAGTATGAAGTACTTAAGTAAGTAAGATGGAGAAAATGTGGTATATCCTGCTATTATTTTAATACCTTGAGAAATCTAAGGACCAGTCCTGTGTTAAAAAATGACTGAGAAGAAATGTGACAAACTTCCTGAAAAGAGGGAATTCGTCAGTGAGGTAAGAGGCAGAGCAAGAGAGAGGTCCAGTGGTGATATTTTATTTAATTTGAGGAACGCATTTTCTTAGCCTTAGAAGATTCGAAGTCTGATGCATCACTAAAGCAGTATGAATATAACTTATGAAAACCATGTTAAGAATAGTTATCTTTTTCTATTTGGTATTCAAATACATTTTTTCTTTGTAGTCTATTATTCCATTCACAAGGCGCTGCTATACAGACAAACTAAGGAAAATTGGTCCACAAAGTCTAAGAGAATATTTTTTAATTATATTGGTATTGTTGGGAATCAAGACTATTTTGAAATACATGTGATCTATATATGGTATGGAATTTTCTATATTTTTAAATGTGTTGTCCTTATTATTACAGCTATGACAGATTTTGCACAACCTTGTGAAATTTATAAACAACTCACTGTTATTACTCATGATACACGGCCAATTATTCACCCAGAAAGATCCCTGCTATAGATTAAGTAGTAGCCATTTAAAATAATTTTTAATTCATTTTTAGTAGAGAAGGTAGCCTGAGAACTTCAAAAATTTCCTGTTTCCATGTTCAGAAGAATCCTCAATAGTCTAGAAAGTTTAAATAAGGAATATATCTGATTTGAGAGGAAAAAGGATAATAAAGTAAGATAATTTAATTTTCTGTACTTATCTGTAAAGATCCTATGTAATAAACATAATCAAAAAAAATCATTTTGATAATCCTAAATTCTGTGTTGGATCACATCGGGCATGAGGGCAATTACTGAAATTAAGGCATCAATCGGCCAAGAATAAGCAGGGAGTGCATCCTGCACTGTTAGATGGATAAAACATCAAACATTCTAAAACTTTATGGGCAAAGGAGCAATACATTACAAATATTTTTGGAACAGAGAAGTACTTAAGCCTTGTGCATGATTAGTAACAAAGTATAGAAAATATAAATATGCAATTAAATTGTAGTCCGGAATATATTCCAGATGGTTTTTTATTTGCTCATGTGAGGATCTATACTGAGCCTCATTTATTGCCATTAGGGACAAAGACAAATCTTTTTGAGTTTTGAACCTGCTGGGAAAACCATTACAAAAGTAATGCAAAATTATTAGAGGAGTGGAGGAGTTTTCTACATAAGTAATGGAATGCTGTCTCTTTGCCTTAAGAGTCCTAAACAGTGGCTCCAAAATAAAGCATTGAAAATATTTTCTTCTCCCATAAATTCTTTGCTCTGAGACAGTAACCTTGTTATATGTCTGTATAACTTCAGGCTTCTATCCTCCCTGAAATAAACTTGTAGGACTTCTCCATAGTAAGAGCTCACCAAAGTCACCCACTCACATCCAGCAGACCGATCAGAAAAAAAAGCTCTCTATGGTTAGGCTCCCACACAAGAGGGAGGACAGTGTGTGTGGTGAAGCTAAGGACAGTTGGACACCCTAAACTCAAAGAAAATATGTTTCTTTTGGCCACCAGCTGGCAATCTTCACAGTCAGCTGAGGGCAGACCTGACTATGGATAGTCTGTTCCTAGAGGAAGGAGGGTCTAGGCAAAGACATGGCTAAAGATGCAGGAAAGATTCTGCACACTAAGTAAAACCAGCACAACTAGACAACTTAGTACTGTAGCTCAGAGCATTTCTCACAAGTGAAATGTTCTGGCCGTGAGGATAAGAGAGAGAGAAAGCAAAGGCACTCGTGTTCAGCATTTACAGGCCTATTCTGGTGATTCATACCCTTACAACAACCAGTTCTGGAAAACTGGTATGAAAACTC